CCTTTCCTTTCCTTTCCTTTCCTTTCCTTTCCTTTCCTTTCCTTTCCTTTCCTTTCCTTTCCTTTCCTTTCTCCCTTCCCTTCCCTTCTTCCCTCACGCTCTCCTTCCCTCCCTTCCCATTTGCAATAGCACTTACATACCACTTCACATTGCTTTACAGCCCTCTCTACGGGATTTACAAAGTCAGCCTTTTACCCCAAACTACCTGGGTCCTAATACTACCGACTTCGGAAGGACAGAAGACTGAGTCAACCTTGTCTTATCTCCCTATCTTGTCTCGCTACTCCCAATGCAAGGGTGCCCAACCTTGGCAACTTTAAAACAGGAGTGGGATCCTACCAGTTCGGTCTGGTTCTACAGAACCGGTAGCTCCGAAGAGCAGCTGACACTGAATCGGTTCGCTGTAATGAGGTTTTGGCCTGCTGTTTGCCCCACCCGGGCTCTAGGCTGTCCTTTAGTGGCTGCGTTTTCCTCCTCAGTGCAGCTCGCCAGCTGGAGAAGGTAAATGCTTGCTGGAGCTGATAGCGCGCAGCATATGCAGTGTGCATTTGATGTGCATGCACACGCTCCACAAACCAGTTATTATGTTGGTCGGATCCCACCTGCTTTAAAACCTGGCTGGCTGGGGAATCTTGGGACTTGGAAGTCCACAGGTCTTAGAAGTTGCCACCAAGGTTGGGCACCCCCGACTCGATGTGTCTATCTTCTCCTTTCTCTTCTTTAGAAATGAAAGTTGCTTGTGTGCAAATTAGTTGTGAACCTGCCAACATCTCTCCCAGCGTTCCTGCCCAATCCTCAAAAGACCACGGGTGAACTTTCAACGGATCCCTCCTAAGATCTGTTTGAGGAAGGGGGCAGGAGCAGGGGTGGGATTCTACCAGTTTGGACAGGTTTGGGCGAACCGGTAGTTCTGGCGGTCGTTTAGCTCCGCCCATCCACCCCTGCCCTAGTCTGCCCTTTATTTCCGTGTTTTGCAGCTCAGCCGATTTACGCAGCACCGTGGATGGCCACGCCTCCGCTGTTTTCCTCACCGGGGCTGCAGCAGAAGGTAAGTATTAGCTGAAAATGGGCAGTTTTGAAACGCTGCAAAGCGCATGCTCACCGAACCGGTTGTTACCCCGGTTGAATCCCACCCCTGGGCAGGGGTGTGTGTAGTCATCTCAAAACTACCTGTCATGCCCCCTGTCAGAGTCTGAATCCGAGGAGGAAGACAAACAGCTGACAAGGAGCAGGAATGTGGCTCCGTTGGCTGTGGAGGAAACTGGGGAAAAGCAAAGTCCGGCTGGGCACAGCAGGGGAGAGGTAGAACAAGGGAGAGGGAATTCGGAGGAAGACCCACCCCCTCTTCATCCTAGGGCACGCAGGATGGAGAAGGGACCAACGTGGGTTGCGTGGCTTACGGAGGAGGAAAGGGCCCTGATTCCCTTCATTAGCCACACCTGGGAAGAGAGTTTAAAAGAGATGCATGCTGAGTGTGGCAGCTGCTGGGAGCAAACGTGAGTTTATCTTGTGTTGACTTTGGTTATCTGCGTTCCTGGCATCCTCCCAACTGTTTGGTTTACTGCTGTGCCTTCACATCTGGAATTCCTTCTCCTGACTAATGACCTCATTTTGCCTTGATTGGACTTTTAGTTACAGTTTTTGTTGACTATATTTTGGACTTGATTCTCTGCAGCCAAAGGCTGCTCCTGGGACAGTTGTTCTCCAGCCCAGAAGGTAACCAGGACATTGGGGGGCAAAGTTGGAGCTAATATAGGAACTCCTAAGGATTATCTGACTGTGCTGCCTTTGTGCCACGCCCCTTTGGGTCATCACACTACCTTTCTCCAGCTCTGGGTGTGATGTCTCCAATTCAACGGGCTCAGCCGGAAGCACCGTGACTTTTGTCCCCGTCTGCTGGATGAACTGTTGGAGATTGACTTGACGCAGTTCTTTCGTCAGCTGCTCCAGTTCTTGTTCTCTTTCCTGAGAAGAAGAAGAAAGGAAAACAGATTTAGCAGCAAGAGTTGGAAGGGACCCCGGAGGTCATCCAGCCCCGCCCCTGGCTCTCACAGGAGACTATTTCCGATAGAGGGCCATCCAGTCTTTTCTTAAAGGCCTCCAATGATGGGGCTGCCGCAATTTTCCGCAGGCAATTTGTTCCACTGGTTAATTATTCTCGCTATTAGAAAAGATTCAACCAGACAGGGCTGAAGGATGCCGAATGATTTTTAACAGAAATGAAAATAACTGGCTTTCCAGGATAAATCAGGGCTAATTTTCCATTCTCGCTCCACCCAAACCACCCAAGGAAGTTAGTTATCTCATGACTTTGGCAGCTGCCATCGATGGATCTCGTTCCAACAACCGGGTTCTCTTTAGCAATCTGCAGAGTAGACCCTGACTTGCCACCATTCTGTTCTGACTCAGCTCCCCAAACACGACAAATCCTTTGTAGATAAATCAATGATTCCTTTATTAGGAGCACCAGCAGCACTAGCAAAAAGACATTACCTAGTTGGGTAATGAAACGTCTGCAAGAAAACAATTAAGCTCAGAGAGCACCAAGGTCCCCATAGTCCTCCTCCTTCTCCTCCTCCTGGCTTTCTTCCTCCTCCTCCTTCCCCTCTCCTCTTCCTTCTT